GAGAAATCACGAAAAACTACTACACTTATCAGCAGAGGCTCCCAAAGAAAACCTGGGGCTTGGGGCAATAGATCCACGGGGGGGGGGCTCATTTCACACAAAACATTCCCTCCCCCTCAATTCATAAAGAGAATTCATTTTCCATGCATCTTAAATTAAGTTTTCTTAGTAAATTTTTACGTAAATTTAGTGGTAAATTTGGATTAGGGAAAAAAACAATTTTCATTTGTTTTGAATGAAAAAAAAATTAGGGGATCCAATTACTTGTAAGACGGGGCCTGAGACAAGTTGCCCCAGCTGTTCCTCTTATCAAAGCAGCCGGCTCGCTAGAATATTCATTCAGACAATGGACGAATTCGACCAATCTTTGTAGCTGGTGTTGAAAGTCCCCCCCCCCCGTCGGAACTCGAACCCTAGAACCTCTAGTTCAATGATGTAGCAGAGACAACGGCATTGCCGCTAAGCTATTACAGCAAGTAGACACGTTCATGATTTGTAGGAAGCCAGGAATGGAAAGTAAAGAAAAAGGCAACGTATTTACGAACAAACTTATGCACACTTATTTTCTCAGACCGCTCGTAGAAATCACATTGAGTACAAATTTTTCAACGAGCGTATACTAATGACGACTTTTTTCATGAGTGCCGTAATTTCTACGAGAGCGTGATAGCCATTATGCGCATATTGAAAACTATATTTTCTCTAAACTTTGGAATATTCAACACAAGTTTATAACTGTGACTAATGACTAATATTGTGGAGACGTAACTAGTGTAAAGTCTAATTTAGCGTTTAAGTTTACTAATTTACCGATAGGGACTACATCTTACAGTTAGATTCTATACATAGAGGCTCTACAAACAGCATCATTATTGCAAGTAGCACGCGATAAATAGTCATGTACGAAGAGTTCACGATAGCACATGCAATTTTGAACTAGGGTAAAATACAAATTGTAATTTCGAGTATAGAGAATACTTTTTTAAGAAGCATAAAATTCCCACGCGAGTAAGTTATATAAATTTTATTTAGTTACATCACATAGTTTAATATATTTTAATATAAAGGTTATGTTGCCTTGTTATATGCAATGAATTTTGTACTTGCTAATTTTCTTTCTATTTTGATATCTGAAAATGCAACATATAAACTGCGAAATCTTCCTGTTGAATCGCGGTTCAAAAGAAGCGCCAATTGCAAAGAGAGTGCAACTCAGCTCGTAGATTTCCAAAAATTCTAGGAAAGTGATTGGTTAACAGGCTGTGGGTTCAAATTGGAATCCGCGGGGGAGTAATCGGTGTTACTCGCCGACTAACTATACATTAAGAATAAATATATTGTTAAATTGTCGAAGTGTCAATTATATTTGGTGTTCTCTTTGGGCCTTTAGACTCGTGTTACCGTAAATATTGCGCAACTATTTAACTGTATTTTTTTGCTAGTGAAGTGATATTTTGGTGTTCTTTTTTAACTTGGAAGAGTAATCTTGGTTAATTAGTTGGTTGGTTGGTGGTGGTATGAAATTAATCAACTTTTTACACGCAGACTTAAGAAATACTGAAGCCTCCGTCGTCGAAGGTATCCATTATCTCGTGTAACAGTCCAGTGCTAAGATTCATAAGTAAACTATTAGTGAAGATTTTTAGTGTGACGGGGAAGGGATTATGAGAACTACTAGCTATTGATGGACTCCATTTACCGACAAATATCTCCGACCGAAAGTAGCCGTGTAAAAGTAAATCCATTATCCAAAGGTTTTTATTCTTTAATTTTAATGCTCGTGGCTTTAATCCTTTTACGATTGGAGGTAGAAACCTTTGCTATTTAAAGTAATTATTTAATTTAGTTAGTGTTGTAGTATCGTTGTATGTATTGTTTTCCTTCCTTTTTCCTCGGTATTTTTTTACGCAATGCTTTCTAAAGTAAAATGCTTTTATCTTCTACTATTTACTCCTCCAGTGAGTCGCTAGAGTAAAGCTCCCAATGTATATTGTGGTGGATTACTAGCCTTGATTAAAATTTATATTCTGTGTATTTATATAGTTTATAAAGAACATGAATTTATATACCTAATGTATTTATGTAGAGATAATACTTGAATATTAGTTGGTGTATTGGAGAAGGAACGTTTTAATATAAATTTATGGGAAAGATACGATCCAGTACTCAAAAGATGATAGATCGTTGCCATGCATAATAGAGACGCCAAAGTTCCTAGTAACCTGGCGAACGCTCAATGGATAACGAGGGCCTGCCCGTCGGAGCTGTAATCAGCCGCAGCCGTCGTTCAACGGAGCCGCGTCCAACGGGAATAGCGTGGTCGTAGCTTCCAGGCGCCATTTAGTGTAAATGAAAATGAATGAATGAAAAATAAAACGCAAGTTTCCAGACTAAAACGTACATAATAGCCAGTCAGGAGTCCATTGGCGAACGGATTTTCGAATTACAATGTATTGATGTATTGATATATTAAAACAAGAGCATATAAATGTCATCAAAGATAAGCCTTCTCCAATAATATTAATGAAAGTCCATAGTTGACTAGAGGGTACAATCACGGAAATACGCCTGAAGAGAGGATGTGAATTAGTCATGAGAGAGACATCCAATCCCTGAGGAGGGGACGATCGAAGATCGGTTCGTAAAACGAATCTTCGCTTACGGAACACGATTTCTAAGAATCCTAATAATACACTCGAGAATGTTCTCTTGTCTACTTTCATTTACATTCTTTCATTTCAGCAAATCAGAGCATGGCAAAAATCCGACACCTAATATTATATATATATATTATATTATATATATAATATATATAATAATATAATGTGTGTGTGGTGTGTGTGTGTGTGTGTGTGTTGTGTTTCTGGCAAGGAGAAATTATGTTTCTCCAGCAGGGACGTCCAATTACAGCACAGAGATTCGCCACGCTGCCTGGAGATGCTTATGTTCCTACGCAACCGCCGGATTCTGCCTCCGCCTGCCAGTCAAGCGTTTGCCAACCGTCATTGTATGCTGCTGGTAATTCTCTGATTCACACGATGCTATAAGCTCTAGAACCAAGCCGGCATAGGAAACTCAGGTCCCGCCCACCACACGATTGTCCACTGCCTGAAATGCCTAAGCTTCTACCAACCCGCGACGCAGGCAAAGCAACTCAGGACTCCTGCGTCATTCGCGACGCTGCTGGAGATGCTAATGCTCTACCACCATAAGCAGGGCGGGCAGCACCGATACATATTGATGGTATTCTGTGATTTTATATGATCCTAAGCTCCTACGAACCGAGACCCAGGGCTAGGAAACCAGCGTCCTGCCACGTCGATCGCACGCTGCTTGGAGATGCTAAGCTCTACAACCCGAAACGCAGAGCGGCAGCAAAAATCAGGTCCCCCCCCGGAGCCGGAAATACACCCGCGGCCGAGCGCGGGCCACGGTCAAACGGCGCGGCGGCGGGCGGCGGCGGCGGCGGCGCGGCGGCGAGGGCGGGAGGGCGGCGGGGGCGGGACGAGGCGAGGCGACCGGCGCGGCGCGGCGCCCAGCGACGCCAGCGCCGCCGCGGCCGCGCGGGCGCCGTGCGCATGCGCAAGCGCGGTCTGCGCGAGCGGCGACGGCGGGCGTCGCGGAGAAGGCCAGTTCGCCAACGCCTTCGGCGCGTGTGAGGTCCGGTGCGGGAGCCGCAACTCGAGGCAGCAGCAGCAGCAACAGTAGCGACGGCAGCCGTTCTCGCTCGCGAACGCTCCGCGCCAAAACAAAGCGAACGCGCGGTGCGCACTTACACTGGGAGGGAGTCGTTACGTTTAATAAGGGTCGAAAGAGGAAAATGTGCCCGAAGCGGGGAACTTTTTGAACTTTGATAAACATTCGAAACTGTTAGATGTTAGGTGAAGTAGGTCACTGTTGTGTAATAATGTGTGTGTTGTGTGTGTAACTCGAAAAGTGTCACAACCAGTTGTTATTGCACTTGATTGGGCAGGAGAAGTACAATTTTAAACAATAAAAGTGGATCATTTTTTTTTTCTTCGGCCTCTTTATGTATGAAATCTGATGTTGGTGTGAATTGTTCAACTTACGGTGAAAAACGACTCGTCATTCTGTATTCGATGTTTTTAGTGGTCAATGTCGTGTGATACTTTCGCAGATATAGTCCGTGTTTCACTTGCTTCAAACGATCCCACAATGAAATCCTTGTGAAACTAATTTAAACTCCTTACGTGCGGCGAGATGGAGAGTGCGACCTTCCTGACCGTGCGTGTGACCGTTCTCCTCGGGTGATTCGTTCTCGGATATGGCGGATCTGAGTAGCTTCGCGATCTCGCCCGGTCCGCAGATGATCGAGATGTCGCTGGAAGCGGACGACGTCATGGGGGCGATGGACATAGTGACCGAGGCGGAGAGCCTGCTGCTCACTACTCTCGTGGGCGACAACGTCTCGTTCGAAATGAGCGCGCCGGCCACCCGCGACCCGCTCTACATCGTCATCCCCATCACCGTGCTCTACTCCGTCATCTTCTTCACCGGCGTCGTCGGCAACGTGGTGACGTGCATCGTCATCTCGCGCAACAAGCACATGCACACCGCCACGAACTACTACCTGTTCAGTTTAGCCGTGTCGGATTTGCTGCTCCTGGTGTCGGGCCTGCCGCAGGAGATGCACTTCATCTGGTCGCGGTACCCGTACGTGTTCGGGGAAGCGTTCTGCATCCTGCGCGGGCTGGCGGCGGAGACCTCCGCCAACGCCACGGTGCTCACCATCACCGCCTTCACCGTAGAGCGCTACGTCGCCATCTGCCACCCGTTCCTCTCGCACACCATGTCGAAGCTGTCGCGCGCGGTCAAGCTCATCCTGGTGATCTGGGTGGTGGCGCTGGCGTTCGCCGTCCCGCAGGCCATCCAGTTCGGGCTGCTGGGCGACTCGCCCGACAGGGTCATGTGCATCGTGAAGAAGGTGGTGATGAAGCACTCGTTCGAGATCTCCACCTTCCTGTTCTTCGTGACGCCTATGACGCTCATCACCGTGCTGTACGCGCTCATCGGGCTGCGGCTGCGTCGCTCGAGCATGATGAAGAAGACGGCCGGCTCCTTCAGCCAGAAGAAGAGCACGCACACGCTGGAGCTGTGCGCGTCGGGCGCGGCCGGCGGCGCGGGGGCGTCGGGCTCCGGCGGCGGCGGCGCGACCGGCGGCTCCCGCCACTACCACAGCCAGTCGTCGCGCCGGGTGCTCAAGATGCTAGGTCAGTGCCTCTTTCGTGCGTTTCATTGTTTTTCCTCTGCGATGTTCAACGCTTTTCTTTCTATTTCGTTGATTTGATACTTTTTCTCTGCGATGTTTAATACTTTTTTTTTTCTATTTCATCGATTTTCTACTTTTTCTCTGCGATGTTTAGTGTTTCTTTTTGTTTTTGGTCGATTTTCTTTTTTTCTCTGCGATGTTTATGTTTCTTTTTTGTCGATTTTCTTTTTTTCTCTGCGATGTTTAGGTTTATTTTTTTTGTCGATTTTCTTTTTTTTCTCTGCGATGATTAGGTTTCATTTGTTTATTCCGTCGATTTTCTTTTTTTCTCTGCGATTGTTAGGTGTCTTTTTGTTTTTTGGTCGATTTTTTTCGAGATATTTAGTGTTTTTTTGTTTTGTTTTTTGGGGGAGATCGAAGTGACGAGTTCCGCAATGTGAGGCGCTTGCATCTTCGCATCTCTGTAGGTTCTGATGCGGCGTCACGTCTTTCGTTGGGACAGGCGGAAAACGAGATCCTTTCCTCGATAAAAACATGAAAGTTTCTAATGAAATATGCATAACTTTCTGTCTGTCGAGAACCTAAGTCGAATTTATTCAAAACGGTATAACATGATTATAACAATAAAAACTTACATGAAGTATTGGTGACGAACGGTGTTTTGTTTTTGATTTATAATATAAGCTACTTAAGTTTCACAATTGAAGACAGCTTCGAAATGATTACTTAATTAATAGAACATCCTCTAGTGGACTGAGATGCTCAGTATTCCAGCAACTTTATTGACTGTGAAACGAATTGAAGAAGCGACTCTGCTCCGTTTCGCAATTTCTTTCTATTTCTTACTAATCATTTTGTAATATTTTGAGGATTGTATATGCCCAAGCTGCCCGTTATATGATATTTAATTTTAGTTTTATCTTGATATCTTCGTTCCAGGAAAGAATGATATTCATTTAGAAATAAGTTTATTCCACAAAATTTAGTTTATTAACTCTTGGTCTTACATTTGTGATGAGATACTATTCCATTATAAAAACCGCATTCATTCAATTACTCACTAAAAAAGCATGCATTTTCATGTACATCATTATGATATTTTACCAAATTGCTTTCGTGGAAGTGACGAAATAACGTGAAAAAAGGTTGGGAAGTTCTATCGCTTAGAAATATATAACGTGCTTGCGATTTCAACACAATGTCACGAACCGATTTGCTTTTACCTATGGACTGCAGTTAATCGGGGGCAGCACTATCGATTCTTTGTGTTTTCTAGAACAGTGGTTTTCCAACTGCCATGACTTCTTTCAGCTAACACATATTGCACACGCCTTCCCTCTTTAAAATTAAATTGATAATAACTAAATATGTTTTCCTGAAAGTAAAGCCTTCTGGTATACCTTATGTTATTCAGTTATTGCGAATTTCTCGCACCTACCAACTAAAACTTTCGCACATCTCTGAGAAAGCGTGCCTCAAAGGTTGAATAATACTAATTTAGAATTACTCAAAACTACCTGTACGTTCAATATGGTACTTAAAATTGACATATTATATTAATATGTTTCTTATTATTTCCTATAACAAGTTGATATTTAAGCTGACTATATGTGTCAAAAAGAATAAATATAACCGAGTCAGGTATATTCTAATTTAAAATATAGGGTATTTATATTTTAGTCATAAAGCAAGATTGCACCTCCAAATACTCGCTTCTTATTTCTTAACTAGTGGGTAGGACATAACAAAGTTTGAACTGTGAAAACTGAGATAATATTTTTTCGTTTTGTTGCGGAAGAAATTATCTTTCGATAACCCTTTTTGTAAAGACACGTTTTTCTACTGTATATTGTATCATTAAAATTTTTTTTGGAAATTTGCTAACATAGTATGTGATAAGAAAATGTGATGGGTAAAACCGAGACGTGATTATATGAGACATACAGACCGATGGTTCCGAGAAACACTCATATCTGTGATTTATGTTTTGCTCACTTTTCGCTATGTCCACCTTGCTTTCACGGTCAGAACTTAGTCAGTGAACTTGAAAATGTCAAAGTTGATTACACACCTCTATATTCTTTACAACGTCTAATTCTGTTAATGAGCTTCATTCTTCGGGTACTGCTACTTTTTGCTAAAGAACATTACAACCTTAAAGTTTTAAGTTTTATAAAACTACAATAAATCAAAAGTTTGTCCTTCGCCATCCGATATTGTTACAAGCTAGAGAGTATTTAATTATTTTTGCAGATCTCCACATCTACTGCAGTGTTAGTAATAGTTAGTAGTAGTAGTAGTAGTAGTAGTAGTAGTAGAGTAGTAGTAGTAGTAATAGTAGCTGGTATTAACTAAAATGCAAAATAGCAAAATACGTAATTTAGAGAAGAGACAACATTTTTAGTTGGACTTGCATTAATTAAGCTCATTAATGGATTTTTTGTTGAAGTATTTCTTCGCATGCTATATATATATTATATATATATATATATATAATATATATATTATATATATATAGTATATAAAATAATTATTTTGTTTTACTTCCTCCCTCCCCCGTCCAATGCCTCGAATATCGCCACAAAATCACCAGAAATTGTAACAGAAAATGTAATAGTCAATTAGTTTTTTTTGAGTTCGAGTTTTTTGCCATACTATTAGATTATTTTCTATATAAAGTGAACAAGCAATAGTTCATGTATGACTTACATTCAAGAACCAGAAAACATACGAATATTTTCTATTGATGCTATAATTTTTTTTATTTTTTTTACTTTTCTTTACGTTGCGTACATTTCAATGACAATTAACTAGATTTGTATTTGAAAAGTAACCGCTGTTGAGTTTCGATACTTCAAAATTGTTATTTAAACATTACATCACAAACTATGGCTGTTTTTTTTAAAAAAGTATAACTAGGGCAAGCTGTTTTGGAAAATAATTGTGATGATGTGTGATGTTGAAGGCAAAGTGTGATGTGGCAAGAACTCTGGCATCGGAATTCAAATCCCAATCGAGTGACAAAGGTGTGGTTGTCAAAGAAAGTTCGCGGGACGTTTTCTCAGGGATCTTCCGTTCCCCGCATCACTCATTTCACCATTGCTTCATTACCATAGGTAATACCATGAGTGCACTGACTCGCGAAGCGAGGTAATACCACCGACTCGCGAAGCGAGGAGGGGATTTGTCTCGCAATTTCCAAAGCACGAGTGGTATTGAACAGGACTATTCCACTAACGAAATTATTATCCAACGGAGTTCCTAAATGAGCCAAATATTAGAAATAACGGAAATCTATGTATAAATCAAAAGTGTTACGTTATGCTGTTATTTGGTTATAATTGTTATAGCTGTTTACTGGACATCGCAGCTTATTACTGTTGTTAGAAATGAGTGGAGTTATTCTGGGTACCGCCGATTACACCCCCCTTTCCTTATTGGCGTGAAGAGGGTAGTTTGTTTGCAATGACATGCAATGGCTATAAAAGACAACGATTGACATTTGAAGACAATAAATAATATTTAGTAGTATATAAAAACGAATCAGCTAATCCCATTATTTTATGGAGGTGCCGTGTGTCACACCTTCGCAGCAATCCTTCATCACACGTGGTGTTTCTGGGCAGACGGAAGTCCAGTGAGCGAACAGACCGGTCAATGCATCAAGCGCGGAAGTGGGCGTGACTGGGCGTGACCGAGGCGACGAATGCGAGTGTGGAGATGGAGCATGTATTTCAGCGCCGGCCTCTCCGCGGGCACTGAGCGCTATTTGATCTTGGTCTCGGAACTGTCCGGGAGCAGCTTTGATGTTGCGCCTGATAACTGCGACTCTTTTGTGAACACTTCCTTTATTCCATGTTCAGTGGTTCAAGTTGGACAATAAAAGGTTTGTTGCTAGTGTTGTCATCCCGATATTCTATGGCTCGTCTCTACTGAAGCAAATGTCCCGCAATCCTTTTGCGGCATCCTTTTGCAACGTGTCGTATAAGAATATTTTACTATTCAGCCTAATCTTACGCAGCGTTGGAAAAGCACTATATTGCTGCGGGGGAGGGGGGAGGAATTGTGTTTTTTCTGTAGAAAACCGCAGGGCACTAGTAACGAAAAAACAAACGAAACAATTGTTTTCTTAAAAACGGCTTGAAATTTTCCTATCGCTTATACCAAAGAAAGGTACAAATGTGGAAATTTCTCGCCTTAAGAAATGGTTATGTAATAGTATTTACACCACAATTGCTTTAAAAATTAACACATCTCAATCATAATTTTTTGTAAAACTTATTTAAAATCATTGAACTTTGGTGCGAAAATTAATTTCAGAGAAGAGACTATTTATTCAAACCTTTAAATGAAAATATCTTCTGGCATTGAATTCGGTGCACAAGGTGTGCAGCGTATTTCACAACCATAACCGACGAGTTGTTTGCCTTATTCTGTGTAAGCAGTATGCGAGAAAGTAAAATAGTTAAAAATGAATAAACGATATGATACTGGAAGCCTTGGCAAACACATGGAAATATATCGAAAAATATATAATAGTAACTATTAAACAATAGTATGGCAATATTATCCAAATATGGACGTTTTACACAAAATACACTTACTGCTTGCCTGAACATGCAATGCTAATTGCTCTATACGTTTTTACTTCTAAGAAAATTCCCTCAAATTGTCTTTACTAATGTTACAGCATTACTACTATGACATTCAGAATTCAATATATACATGAGTAAGGGTAAGGATACCAGAATTTACGAAAACGTTCACAGAATACATTTTCTCCATAATACGTCACACTCAGTTTTTCTGTTTTTGACGTTACATTGACGTTGACCTATATATATATATATATATATATATATATATATATATATATATATATATATAAAACAAATCCTAAGAATGGTTGCATGCCAATGTTCAACAAAGATAAGATTTCAACCGAATATCACATTTCATTATCTAATATTGCTGTCGTTCAACAATGAACTTCTAAAATAT